GGAGCAGAGTATTACAAGCATTTCAAGGCGCCTTTGTATCCACTAGTGACAGGGTACAGGATTCAAGATCCATTGTCAGTGAGAAGCTACGAGGTGCACAAAGTATTGTATCAGATATGTCTGCGGTTGCAATAGATGGGATCAAGAGATTTGTTGACGGCTGTAAAACTGAAGTTGGAAGGATTGCACAACGATTAAAGCATGATTAAGTACTGGTGATTCAAGTTCTGCTTTGCATTGCAGATCAATAGTGAGCTAATATTTTAGAATTTTTATTTAAACTACCGAGCTTTCAAAGGAATTATGACATCTCTACTAGTGTGTAAATTGGTTCTACTTTCAATCAAATGCTTCTACATTTCTTGGTGGACTCTTGTTGATCCGCAGCATACTTTTTCCAACTATACTTAATACTTAGAAAACTCAGCAAAAAAATAAAAAATTTGAATCAAAATAAAATGTTAACATAATAATTATTAAGGTATAAAATCTGATATAGTATTTTTTTTTTAAAGGTTTAACTAAGATTTGTTAGGATTTACTTGAAGTTTGGTTAGGATTTTTAAGTTTTTCTTAGAATTCTATGATGGTTCAATTAGGATTTATTTAAGATTTCTTCATAGTTTCTTTATAGTTTTTTTAAATTTTCTTTGTAATTTTTTTAGAATTTCTTGGGATTTTTTCAAGATTTCTATATGATTTGTTGTAGATTTTTAGATTTAAAAAAAAAAATTAAAAAGATTTAATAAAGATTTTATTTTAAAATTATTTAAGATTTATTTTAAGTTAAATATATTATTATAAAATTATTTAGGTTATTTAAGATGAATCTCTTTCTAAACACCTTATGCATTATTTTGTTGGACTATAAATCTAACTTCAAGATAAAATCATACTCTACTATAACTGGATGTCTAGTGCATTTCTAAGCTAATTCATACAAAACATATCAATGTTTATATGGGACCTAAAAATCACAAACCCTCTACAATTGGATGTCTAGTGCATTTCTAAGCTAATTCATACAAAACACAACAATGTTTATATGGGACCTAAAAATCAAAAACTCTCTACCTTGTTAGAATTAAAAGCCTTAACTTGTTTTAAAATAAATTCTTTGTTATAAGACATAAAATATCATTATTAAAAAAAATTTAACCATGTATTTACAAAAGTCATAGATAGTTGTCATTTTTCTTTTGGAGATGTTATTCATGAAAATACTCTTATAGAGATAGCAACATATGGTTATAATAACTTAGTGATATTTAATATCGTTAAATCTATCTCTAACCTAGTCATTTTAGACTTATTGTGGTTAGAAGCATATGATCTTTAAATATATTTGATTTTTCATATTTTTAATTTCTTTAATAATATAACCAAGACTTTTACTAACTAAGTAGAAAGTCCTAATTCTAGTACAACCAAACTCTTATTTGTAGGTTCAAAAACTTGAATACATGCTGCAAAAATTAATCATCTTTTGTTATTTATGCCACATCTATTTTTATTGGAGGAAAAACTTCAAACAACATTCTAATCAAGTATAAGGATTATCAAGACGTTTTTGAAAAGATAAATAAAATATTTTTTAAAAACATTATTTTTATGATTGCCCAATTGATCTTCACAAAAGAACTCAAACATCATTTAGATCAATTATACTCAAAGAGTACATTAATAAGAACTTAGCCAAAAAATTTATATGATATTCAAAATCTCAAGCAAGAGCTCTTATTTTGTTTGTAAAGAAAAAAAAAATAGATCATTGCAGATGTGTGTGGATTATTAAAGAGTCACCAAGTTTACCATCAAGAATAAGTATTATCTACCTTTGATGTTAGAACTTCTTGATCAATTGAACTAGGCTACAATCTATACAAAAATAGATCTAAAATGAGCATACAACTTGATATATATTAAAAAAAAGTAATAAATAGAAGATAGTGTCTTGAATTAAGTACAAGCATTTTCAACATAATGTTATGCATTTAGGACTTACAAATGCACCACTTATTTTTCAACATCTCATGAATGATGTTTTTAAAGAGCTTTTAGATAATTATATTATTTTTTATCTAGATTTTTTTTTAATATGCTCTAAGAATATAGAAGAGTTTGAACTTTATGTTCTTTATATATTACAAAAACTTATAGATACAAGATTGTATGCCAAGATGGAGAAGTGTATATTTTATACAACTCAAGTTGATTTCTTAGAATATATGATTTCAAATAATAATTTTATAATGGATCTTAAGAAAGTTCAAACTATCATGGATTGCAAGATTGTAAGAACTATAAGAGATGTGAAATATTTTCTAGAATTTTTCAATTATTATCAAATCTTTATCAAGATTTTTTTATAAATTACAATTTTATTTACATATTTGGCTTGTAAAGAAAAATTTGAGTGAAATAAAGAAGCCAAAGCAAAATTTGAAGCTTTAAAGATGATTATTACTATAGTACTAATATTATATCATGTTAACTTTTCTTAGGCATTTTTTTCTAAAAAAAAGCATATTGAACTTTATCTTGCATGTAGCGTTGTCACAAATGACAACAGATAACAATCTTCACTTAATAGCGTTTTATTCAAGAAAAAATTTAAGTAGCCATAATCAGCTATAAGATCCACACAAAGAAATTTTTAGATTTGTGGATTCATTTCAAGAATGGTACCATTATTTAGAAGGTGCTTTTAGTTTAGTGATTATTTGTACATATCACAAGAATCTCAAGTATTTCAAGTTAGCATACATTTTGAATTGTTGCCAAGCTAATTGAAGCATGTTGTCAAAATTTGTATTCAATATCATATATTGGCCAGGAAAACAATAAAAATTATCAAACATCTTTTCTAAACAATCTTATCTTGCATCAAAAGAGAAAAAATAAATAAATAAAATAAATAATAAATAATAATAATAAATAATTCTCTTAAATTTTTAAAAAATATTTTTTGAGCAATGAAATCAATACTAACTATTGATTTAATATTTATTAATTATATACAATCATATCCTCAAATTTTCTTATACATGATATCAAGATTAATTCTTCTAAATGACATGATACTTCTAACTTAGAATTCATGGACAATATTTTTATTTTAAAATACATTTAGATGTTCCAAAAAATAAAGCACAATTACATATTTTTCAAGTTTGTCAAGATTTTTCAACTGCAAAATATTGTCAATACAATATTAGATAGTTGCAAACACCTAAGTAGTCATTTTTATGGTATAGACCAAAAGTCAATATTATCAATCTCTTTCACCATACTACTTATAAATTGACCACATTGAAGATTTTGAGCTAGTGGTAGATACAAACAAAGCTTTTGAATTTTTTTTACCATTGGATATTACTAAAAAGCTTTGGATCTGAAGTGTGGACACATTTTGTAAAATAAAGGACAATATTTGTAATATAGTAAGAGAATGTTTCCTACAACAAGTTGGAGGTATTTCTTCACTAGATTAGAAGTTCAAATTTTAAAACTTTGATGAAAGAAAAATGGCAACAATCCCTTATTTTTAATAACTAGTGTACATTTAAACTATTGCTACAACATTTAGAATATGTTGTACTCCAAATATGTGAGAAATAGAATGCAGAGCATTCACTTCAATAGCAAGAAATAAAGCACTACTGAGAAGCTAACATATAACTCATATTTGCTCTCAAAGAAGGTGTTATTTTCAATTTAGTTCTTTTGGAGGTGTTTCTTCTACATGAATCAGGTTGGAGAAAGGGGCTGGCCAATAAAACAATTGAACGGTGAAAAAATAGAAGTGTTTCTTCAAAATAAGGTATTTTTTGTGCTAAAAATTTCTTGTTAACAATAGAAGTAACTAACAAACTACCAATGCAATTTAAGACATTCAGAGGGCTGCTGATAAATAGAATTTCTTTTTCTTATTTTACTTAAATTGTTAGGTCCTTCACCACATCATAACAAATCAAGACATTTGGTTTGAATTTATAGAGTAGATGCTTTACCATGGTAAATAAGTTGATTCTGTAGACTTTGTGAAATTCATCAGGAACATGCATTTCTAAATGCAAATGCTTAGACCAGCAAAAATTACCAGTCATATTCTCATTCTCAACATAGAATCTCGTGTACCTAACTCCATAAAAGAGAGTTGTTATAAAGATCCGTAGCTATTTGAGGATGTCAGAAGCCAAAGATTACAAGAAACTCACTTCAACAGCCACACTTTCAGATGAGTTTCTTGCACCAATCAAGACGAGCTCACATCCAAATTACTTGCAGATCTTCCCGAGAGACAACTTCTATTGCAAAATGAACTCCAAAATAAGAAGAAAAAAAAACGTGTTTGAACCACACCGCAGGTCGTCTAGCACCAATCTGAAAGTAAATTTCACCGGTCGAGGTTCCTCAACAAAACAGATACGTATCCAAGTGACAAAAAGGTCTAAAAGTAACAAGAGCGAAAAGCAACACTAGGCAGAGTAACAACGTAAATCAATAAACAAGCGTCAAGCTTCTGCTGGAGCTCCAATAGTCAAATAACTGGCACGTACTACATACGACCAGCAAGCCTAGAATAGCTCCAGTATGTAAATTTTTTTATATACATACCGCTAAGAAAATAAATTTTAAGTGTCCAACCTTGAAAATAAATAAAATAACATAAAATAAAATAAAACAAGCTACCCAGTATCACTCAGCCATAAAAAAATTAAAAATAAAAATTCCAACACAATCACAATTTTTAAATTTCTTACTCATTGCAACTAACTGAGTTTAAATCCTAAACAGCAAGTACAGCAAAGACCACCAACGCCTTCCAGTAACAGAGAATACGACAATCTAATAAAATCAGAATATAGCACCATCAGGATAAGTTGTTCGCACCAAGCCAACGATAGACAATGGAACCTAATGAAAGACTACAATGTTAACCCAACAGGTTTGCGCATCTCCAAATGTCACAAACGCTCTCTCATGGCGACACGATATGATTGATCAATATAAAAGTAATTGTGCAGCAAAACTCCTAGCTACAATGCTCTTCTCCACAGCTTGAATGCTTTCCCTAACCAACTGTCATCAATCTTCCTGTAACGTTTTTCTCAATTCTGCACTTCCAGCGTAACTGCTCAGAAATCCCTCTCCAATCCCTCTCTATATACTTCCAGAGAGAGATATCTCCGGCTACTCGACAAACTCCCACATCTATCAACTCGCAGATAAACCATTCTTCAAATAACGAACACCACGATGTATTTTCACACAGGGATTTTGATAGGCCTGTTCCTGACCTTTCTCTATACAAAAAATAATAATAATAAAATTAAAATTAAAAAAAACAAAAAAACAAAAAAAAAAACAAAACAAAAAATTGAAAGACGTAAGAGGGCAGAGGAAGCAAAGAAAAAGAAAAAGAGAGGAAGATGCCCTGCTAAACAAACACCTACTGATGACACAATCTTACCTGACTTAAACCCTCCGCCTCAACCATACCTAGAACAGGAGCAAAAACCAGAAAACGATGCAAAAGATGAGAAACACTTAAAAAGCTACCGCACACGAAATCTACACGTCTCCAACCAAAGACGTTCTATAGACCAGTTCTGCACCGTCTCAAAAGAGCCCGAAACTAGGCCAATACGCCGTGCCCATTGCATACATAAGCTTCCTACTCCAAATCAACCCTGGCCACCATACTCATCTGCAACTAGACACAAGGAGCATCCAGGTTTGCATCAATTGGAAACCGGGCTTCTTCAAGCAGCGGAAACAGGATGGGAGGGGGGGGGGGGAAAACAAAAAACAAAAAAGGGCGCGAAAAACAGAAATAGAGGCAGAAGGAGAAGGACAAAGAAGAGCAAAGATTAGAGGATTTTTAAAAATAAAATCAAAAGGAAAAGGAAAAGAGGCAATAGCGCTACTTTCCCAACATTGGAGCTGCACCCTGAGCGGCTATTGGGGTTCCTGTCCCTGATGTGCCCTTTGCAACCGTCCTTACAATCGGCACATCATTCGACGATGCAAGGGCATTGTCACTGCTCGAATTACTACTCTGCCTTCCGGCAGCCTCAAGTCGTTTCCACGTTTGCTCCCGCACTTCTTCCATCCCTTTCGCCTTCGCTTCATCTTCTTGATACTTCCGTTGGCATTCCTGGAATAGCTCCTGATCCATCTCCAGAAACATTTTTCGTACGTTCAGCGTCAGCCCGTGCACCGCCTGATTCCAGTGGCTTCTCGTGTTCCTCTCCAACGCCGGAAAGATGATCGGTAGCACCACCAGCCGATTCTGGGCCACTAGGCTCACAATGTGATCGTTGTTCCACAAAAACAGCGCACGCTCCGCAACCTGTGTTTCGCAACACCCATCAATCCGTCCCGTCAGACACTACCAACTTCACATACACGCCCACAAACGCTACAACATCCACACTTCTACCCACCCCCACTCATCCCCCCTGCACGATCCACGACACACGCTCCTGCGCTCAACCCCACACCATGATACCCACACCGCCACACCCTCTCCACCAGATCGTTCCCGCTCGCGACTCATTCCCCAACTCCTCCACGCAACCTACCTACCCTGCACCTTCACAGTCGTCCCCGTGCCTTCTACGGCACTCCAAATCCCTGTTCTACTTCACCACGCTCTCACATCCCGGCCCCTCCACAAAACTCTCATCCCTTCCAAAATCACAAAAACTCCTGTCCAACTGAAACACCGCGACATCATGCCCTACGCCTACCCACTGCGGCAATTCCTACTCCTCACCACCTGGGCAGCTACCCCGAAATCCTCGCACTGCACATCATGCACTGCCATCTCTGGACCCCTGCCATCGTGCGCAAAATACCAATGTGCCAGTCTCACATCCCATCATCGACACCCGCACCTCCGACCACTGCGCATGCAACGCCCCCCTTTCCTCTCACTTCTCCCACCCATCCCGCCGCATACCTGGAAATGTGAACTGTTCAGACACCGACCGATCTGTCGAAACAGCGGCACCATGCACCTCTGAAACTCTGCGCTCTGCGTCGCCTCCAACACCTCCTCCAACTCCCCCAGAAACAGCACCTCCTTCTGGCTGTTCGTCACCGGCCAGTACCGCAGCAGCCCCCGTATCACCACGTCCGCCAGCTTGAAGTCCTTCTCCACGAACTGGATTATGCAGTACGACAGCTGCTGGTGGTACATCGACACGCACTTCGGCTTGTGCAGCGGGGTCAACGCCCGCGCCAAAAACAGCTTGTGCTCCTCCTTCAACGGCAGCGCGAACCCGTTGATGATGCTCCCCAGTATCTCCAGCAGCTCCGCGATCCCGTTGTGCTTCTCCGTCTCGAATATGAACCTGTAGAATATGTTGTTTATCGCCTTCCGGATGAACGGCCGGTGCACCATGAACTTCCCGTATATCCGGTGCAATATCGTCTTCAGGTACTCCCTCTCCCGAGGGTCCTCGCTGTCGAACAGGTCCAGCAGTCTCAGCACGAACGAATGGTCGATGTACCGCTTCGCCAGCTTCGCGTCCGTCTCGCTCGACACCACGTACCGCAGCAGAAACTCGTACACGATCTGCAGGTGCGGCCACGCCGGCTCCATCGTCGGCTCTTCCTCCTCCGGGTCGAAGTTCTCCGAACCCGTGTTCTCGTGAGACGACGGGGGCAGCGTTCGGAACAGATTCGCCGCCAGCATCCTCGTGATGTCCTCGAACACCGCTTCCGTGAACTTCCCCGACCCCGACGTCACGTAGTCCACCAGCTCCAGCAGCGTCTGTCGCTTGATTTCCTTTTCCCTCACATTCTTCGTCGGATCCGTGAAGTCGAACGTATGGCAGCACAGGACCAGCTTCCGAACGAACAGGCTCTGCCTGTCCGAGGTCGGCACGTCTCTGAACGACGGCAGCGCCTCGAATGCCCCCGGCGCCATCTTCCCCGCATCCACCTGCCTTCCACCCGCCTGCGCACCTGCTGCAGGACCTCCCGCCTTGATGCCGCCAGGGGCACCAACCGCTGCTCGCGCCCCCACATTGTTGCCGGCTTTGCTGGCAGCTGCCTGACCTACCACCCCCGCAGGAGCTGAAGCAGATGTGTTGGGTGCCGACGCGGATGCGTCAGCTTTCTCATTATTGTCGTTCTTCCCCTTGGTCCCGCGCTGCATCACGCGCTTCAACTTGAAAACCATCTCTGGTCCTCTTGTGTCCGTGAGCAGTCCCAATCCCTGACCTAATACCACACTCTCCTCAAATGCTGGCTTCCCAGCGACCACTGCATTTGCAAGTCGCTCTAAACCACCGCCACAACAAGCCGCATCGGTACGCAGCCGGCCCGGGTGCTCCTGTTCATCTCACAGACTGGCCATCCTGTATCGTGCCCTCATGCCCCGAAGAGCTATCACGCAACTGTCCCACACAATCGCCGTTTCCACCAACCAGGCATACCCTTGACCCACATCCACAACACGACCACCACTCCAATGGGGCTCGAAAACCCTCAAATACGACCTTTACAAAATCCAAACCCCCTCGACTGGAGCCGGCGTGCACGCTCCCAATTCGATTCCGCGCACGTCAGCTAACATCCAATTCCACAGCTAACCCAAACTGCGTCTTCTCGTCCTCGGACCAATGCCCCAAATGCGCGACACAGCTCGCACGACACCAAACAACATCCGGAAGATTCCAGCACCACCGTCCAACGACCGAGCGCTCCGCAATCGACCTCCACCCCAAACCCGTCCGCCGTCGCAACCAAACTCCACCCCCGACCCGGATCCAGAAACCTCTCAAGCATGCAAAACCCTAGAGCGTTTGCACCCAAAAACGCACGAACCTGAAGCAGAAGAAGCCGCTCAGCCACAGCAACGACGCCACCGAGCGCTCCTCCAAATTCGACCCGCGCTAGCGACAAGAATCAGGCAAAAAGGGAGAGGAAGCGCCAAGCACAGAAACGCAAACGCGATTTCGAAAGAGGAAGCACCCAGCAGAGCTCCCAAGAGGGCGGCAATGGTGCGGGAAGAGGGCGGCAGCCGGAATGGCAGAGAGAGGGGAGGAGAAGCCAAGGCAAGTGCAAGTGCGGCCCTCGCAGAGCAGAACAGAAGAGAGCGCGAGAGAGCGACAAGGGCAGAGCAAGAGGGACGGGGGGCGAGGGCCGAGCCGAGAGTAGTCGGGCCTCGGAATGCGACGAGACCAGGGAGAGCAGTAGAGCAAAGCAAAGCAACTGAGACGACGACGACACCCGCATAGCCTAGCGCCTCTGCCTCGTGACGCGGTGGTGCCCTCCCATTCCCACTTCGTCCCTCTTCTTCGTCGTCTTCTTCTCCTTCTGTCCCTCTGTTGCTGTGAGAGTTTGTTTGTGTGAGAGTTCGAATGGAATAATAGTGAGTGGGCAGCCCCTTCTTCCAAACAAGCAAGCAAGCAGGAGTCTTCTTCCACTCTCATCCCTTGAAATTCTTACTTACTAGTGCCATCACCAGGCCGTCGTAGATGGGTACAATTCCCCTCATACACATCTCTCCTCCGTAACATATTCGATGCTTGCATTTGTATGCTTGCAAGCGTCTTCGTCACAAGTAGTCCCCCATTTGTATTCGGCAGTGTGCCCTTCTCGTTTCTTCCTCACTGTTGTGTTGTGAAACCAAGAATGCTATTCCTTTTGTAGAAAATATTTGTTTTGAAGATATGGATACTTGTTACGTTTAGAAAAGTTCTGTTTTATTTGCTCAAAAATTGTCCATATCATATAAATATACATATAAATATTTGCAAATTTGAGAAAGTTTTGTGTATTGTAGAATTTGACCATGAAAAATGGTCAAATATTTAGAATTTACATGTGTGTGTATATTATTTAGTAAGCTTCTTCTACGGATTGTGATCCTCTTCTAAGTTTGCCTACTTGTTCTTGTTTGTTGGAAAAAAATATGCATTATTAAGTATTAACTAGCATAAATTTAATATTAAATTTTTGTTATAGAATCATAATTAAAACTAATATATAGATGATAAAAATATATACCTTTTAACAAGACTTTATTGGATTTTTGTATTTATTAGATTGTATTGCATATAATAGCATCAATATTTATATATATAAGAAAATATTAAATAGATCTATGATTTTGTTAAATAGATCCACCCTTAATGAGGAATCTGGTAATCATGATGAATGTGGATGGTTTTTATTGGTTGTAGATTCAATAGTGAGGAAATGAATTTAGAGGTCATTTTTTTTTAATGATGGTTACGATGGATTTAATAAAAACTTGGATCTATTTAATATTTATAGATATATATATATATATAGAGAGAGAGAGAATTAAAAGTAAAATCTCTTTTTTACTATTGTCAAGGACATAAACCTCAAAGAACTAAAATGTCAATATACTCTTGTGCCATTAAAAAATATTAAAAAATCACTCAAAGATGATATAGTATCAAACTAAAATGGCTATTGCCAAAGACAATAAGACTAGAAAGTCTTGAAACAAGACTAAAGACTAAAAAGATGTTGACAAAAGTGAAGAAGGCTCACTCTTGCCTTTGTATATACTCTTAACTAAGAGCTACATGGTGATATTCTATAGGACCTCCAAAATGTGTTGACTTTGCAAGACACATATTTTAACTTATAAGGTAAGTTTTTTATATGTATGCCATATAGTTAATTTGTTCCGCAAGCTATCAATACATGGTTAACTTATTGAACAAGTTTCTATTCTATCAATCAACTATAAATACATGTAAAGTCAAAACAACATCTATGAAGCTTTTAGGAAGCTATTCTAAAAAAATATTATGAAATAAATTTATTTTTAATTACTTCTACTTAATCATATAGATAAATATCATAGTAAATATATATATATATATATATATATATCCATAACATTACAATCTTTTTGTAGGAATAAGTTCTACAAAGGATGATCAACATATGTTGTAAAAATCCAAAATGTAGCAAATTAAATTTGCCACATACTTTGATTTTTATTCTCTTCAAAGTTGGTTGATAGGTTTTCTTAGCCATTGATAGTGTCTTATACTAGGGCTGGAAGACCACCCTACTATTTAATTATTAATGAGACCTTTGCAACTTCTTTCAAATAAAACATTTGAAATACCATCAAAAATTGTTCCAACCTCTAATAAAATCACCAAACGTCCAGAGTCTCTTCTAAGGTTGTGATACCAAACATGTTGTATCTTGCCATCTATTCAAGGGAAGATGATTATTCTTGAAAATCTTCATCTCAATTACGTCATCTTGAAGGTTATAACAATCATAATGTTTCATTCAATAAAGTAAATAAGTCATAGTTCTTGAGTTGAATCTATAGGTTATTAGTTCTCCATTACTTTAGCATCACAAATGTACAAAAGTACCAAATATGAATAGAGGTAGATTGCTATCTTTTCTATATCTTATTTTTTTATAGCAAAGATTTGTTATTCTTTATCTTAATTTTGAAGGATGTCGTCAATGAAAAGCCTCAACTTTCTTTATTGTATTTATAAGATTCTTTGTTAGCTCCCATGTGCATTCACTAATATCATATCCGCATCAATGAATAAGATATTCTAACCTATTTTGGCATCGCCTTGAATCTAAGACTTCTTCCATCTCAAATTCTTGATTATTATCTATTTCTATAAGAGGAGGTGGCATTTGTCTTTGTCTCAAGATATTCATTGTCTTATATGGCTCAAGAAGAGATACATAAAATATAAGATGGATCTTCAAAGATTCTTGTAGATATAATTGATAAGCAACAAAATTGACTTGACTACTAATAAGAAAAAGTCCAAGCATAAGATAGTCCAACTTGTCACAAAGACTAGTAGTCTTGATATTGCAACAAAGTAACCATAACTTATCACCTACATTGAATTAAGGTTATTTCTTACAATAAGTATCCTCATCGACCTTTTGTCATTTTTAAGCTTCCTTTAATTATGCCTTCATTATTGCATCTAATTTTTACAAATGATTTGTTAAATCTTTTGCCGTAAGATTATCAACTTTTAAAAAGTCAAAAGTATCAAGTTGTAGATGGTAACCATAACTAGAAAAGAAAGTTGTTTGTTGAGTAGAAGAATGTACCAAATTAATTTACACAAACTTTTATAATGGCAAAAGAGTTGTCCAATCATCTTCATGACAATTAATAGTACATCTCAAATATTGCTCCAAAACTTGATTCATCAATTCTATTTGCCTATCAATTTGAAGATGACAAGCCGAAGAGAACTTTATATCCACTTTTAATATCTTAAAAGGAATTTTTTAAAATCTTCATATAAAATAAGTTTTCTTATCCAATATAATATCCTCGAATAATCCATATTAATAATAGATATTATGAAGAAAAAACTTAGCCATTTCTTCACCTATGATAGATTTTGTATATAGTACAAAATATATCATCTTAATAAAATGATCTATTATATGATTATACATTTGAAAAGATAAAATATAATTATGATTATACATTTGAAAAGACAAAGTATAATTATGATTATATATTTGAAAAGACAAAGTATAATTATGATTATACATTTGAAAATGATTATATATTATTATGACTTCTTGTCATTGACTTTATGGACTCTTTGTCATTGACTTTATGTACTTTGTCTTTTCAAATGTATAATCATTCCTCAAAGTAGAGTAGATTATTCTTAAATTCAAACTTGAAAGTATCATAAGACTTAGAAGAATTATTCTTGATATTATGGATAAGAAGATCAAATGATATACTATTTTAAATTTGCTTGAAAAAAGTTGAATCAATAATCAATGTTGACTTTATTGCTTAAAGATGAAAATACTCTAGCTTCAAGAGAATCGTTCTTTATTGATCAAAAGTTGGATTTCTTTCTTTTAGTACAAAATAAAAATGTCTAGAAGGACATTTGATAAACCTTATTGTTTTTTGAATCTATAAGTTATCTTAAAATCAAATCTTAATAATGACATATTCTAATAAGCTTGGAGACAATTCAAAACACATGCCAACATGAAGTACTTGAAGTTCTTGTGATTTGTATATACAATAATTGGACTAAAAGCACCTTCTAGATAATAATGTGATTCTTAAAATGAATATACAATTGTAAGAAGCTCTTTATCATGGATCTCGTGTTTAATTTTAGTTGCTAAAAATTTCTTGGAATAAAAAGTAATCAAATAGAGCTTATTATTACTTCCATTTGTGATAGAAAAATATTTTTAGCAAAGTCTAATACATCTTTTTTCATAAAGAACATCTTAGAAAAATTTCCATGATACAAAATTGGTGCAAAAATAAATATGTCTTTAACGCTTGAAAAGATATTTCTGCTTCTTTCCTCCACTTAAATTTGTCTTTACATATTAGACATGTAAAAAGAGTCACAACTTGAAAAAAGTTCTTAATAAAGATTTGATAATAAATAGAAAATTTAAAAAATTATCATATAATTTTAATTATTTTTGAGACCTTCCAATCCATGATATTTTAGACCTTCTTAGGATCTATCATTAATCTTTTGTTGGAAATGATGTACCCTAGAAAATCAACTTAAATAATGTGGAATACATACTTTTTTATTTTTACATATAATCTTATATCTCTAAGTTTTTGTAACACACAACAAACATGAAGTTCATATCTTTTTATATTCTTAGAATAGATTAGAATGTCATCTAAATAACAAACAATAAAATCATCAAGAAACTCACAAAAGATATCATTCATAAAATGTTAAAAAGCAACTAATGCAATATGAGTCCAAAAGGCATGACGTTATATTCAAAATATCCATACCTAATTTGGAATGTAGTCTTGTACTCGTTTCTTTTTTTAATGGAGATTAGGTTGTATGTTCTTTATGGATCTATTTTATATAGATCTTTAGTTAATTGAATTAGTCAAGAAGTCATGAAATCAATGATAAGAGATACATATTATTAATGGTGATCTTATTAAGTCCTCAATAGTCAATGTACATACATAGAGATCCATTTTTTTTCTTCACAAATAAGATAGAGATGCTGCTGGAGATTTTGAGTGGCATATAAAGTTTTTAGCCAAGTTCTTGTCAATGTATTCTTTTAATGTAGCCAACTCATTTTGTAATAAGTTATAGATCAATTCAAATAGTGTTTGACATCCTTCTTATAGATCAATTGAATAATTATAGGATTTATGCCTTGAAAGGATATTAACATCTTATTTTCAAAAATATCTTAGAAATCTTAATACTAGCTAGGAAAATCACTTGATGTCTTTCTA